CTGACCAGCCATATGACTCACAGCTCTGGCCAGAGGTTAGTGGCTCAAGGGGCAGTCATGCTCCTCAGGTCAGGAGGTGAAGGAGGCAGCTCTCTTTCTTCTGTGGAATCTCAGAGTTGGGGGGAACGCAAGCCCAGCAGTGGTGCAGCCCCTGGCAGGGGAGGAGGCCCAGATGCCTCCTGGGACAGGGACATGGGGTGCGGAGAGAATGGCCCGCCCGCTCCCCACTCCTGGAGCCGGCTCTCCATGGTTGGGTGGGGAGAGTTCACGTATTCCCCTGAGGGCTTCAGCCAGTTCTGTTCTGGATTTTACCGCCCAGCCCGAGAAAGGCCCCAGCAGGGGCCTTCCCTAGGCAAATAACCCAACAATTGCCAAGAGTCTTACTTCCTTGTTTCCTCTTTTGTTTTCCTTTGCTTATTTGAATTTGTGTTTCGTTTTGTTTTGTTTTGTTTTACCATGTTTGTGCCCTGTTTCCATAAGGAAAAAAAAATCACAAAGCTATTTGTTTTTAAAGACAAACCCAAAGTCCGCTTCTTTCCGCGGCCACGCCTGGCTTCCCTCTGGTCGGCCGTGGGATCACAGTCCTGCTGGCTCTGTTCCTGCCTTCAAAGTACAGGGAGGCTCAGCCGTGGCCTGGGAGATGTGGCTCTTAGGGGCTGCATGGGACTCCATTTACTCAGGACACTGTGCCCTGGGGAGCCTGTCCCCATTTAGGCAGGAGCTGGGGATGGACTTTGGTTCTGCCCCAGAGAGCGGTGGAGCCAGCTAGGTGCAAGGGCCTCCCCCTGGGTTCTGACTCCCTCCCAGATTAGGATCTTTATTGAGCATCCACTGGCTCCTGGAGGCTTGGCATGAGCTGCAGGAGAGGCCCGGTGGGGCTGGAGCACATCCTCAAGTTCACCGCACACCAGCCTGGCCTTGGCAGTCTCCGGCCTGTGCAGCCCCACACAAGTCGCTTCCCCTCTCTGAGCACCTCCTCCACTGCCTCTTCTCTAAAGAGGTACTAGCAGTTACACGCAGAATTTCTCTCGGGCTGGGAATGGCACAGGCGGCCAGAAAGGAGAGGCGGAAAGGCACTCCCTGTCCTTGGGGAGAACTTGGGCCTGTGTGCCGACCAGTAATCATCATCGGAGCTAACATTTATTGTAGCATTTATTGCGTGCGAGGCTAAGCACTTAACATTACCTCATTTAATCTGCACAACTCTGTAAGGAGTAATAACCCCTTTTAACTCAACCAAGCCTCTATTTGCTCATCTGATAACTGACCTGCCCAGGGTCACATGGCTAATAAGTGAGTAGTGTTGAGGTGCCTGCCAGGAGATGAGCTCCACGGCCAAGCTCTAGATCCCCGAAATCTGCTGCCCCACATTGGTAAGAACCTTGATGGGTCGGAGCCGTGGAGGGAAAGCCCAGAGGAATGTCCTCCCCCAGCGGAGGCCAAAGGCTAGGAGGGTAGTCAGGGGGCCTTCCTGCAGGAAATGGGACTGAGCGAGAGCCCTAATAAAATTTCAACGGCATTTTTCAGAGAACTAAAACAAATAATTCTAAAATGTCTATGGAACCGCAAAAGACCATGAATAACCAAAGCAACCTTGTGAAAAAAAAAAGTCAGAGGTATCGCGTTCCTGGATTTCACCTATACTACAAAGCTGAAGTAATCAAAAAACAGTGTAAGTTAGCATAAAAATAAACACAGAGATCAATGGAACAGAATAGGGAGCCCGGAAATAAATTGACACTCATATGGTCAATCGATTTACAACAAAGGAGGCAGGAATATGCAACAAGCAAAAGACAGTCTCTTCAACAAATGGTATTGGGCAAACTGGACGGCTACGTGCAGAATACGACTGGACTGCTTTCTCACACCACACACAAAAATAAACTCAAAATGGATTGAAGACTTGAAGTAAGACAGGAAAGCCAAAATCTTCCGGCGGTAAGCTCCTTGACATCAGTCTTGGCGATAATCTTTTTAGATTTCACACTGGAAGTAAAGGCAACATAAGCGAAAATAAAACAAACGGGACTGCATCATACTAAAAAAAACATTTGCATGGTGAAAGAAACCATCAATAAAACAAAAAGGCAGCCCGTGGAATGGGAGAAGATACTGACAAATCACATACCCAATAAGGGAATAACATCCAAAGTATATAAAGAACTCATACAACTCAATAGCAAACCAACAAAAATTTGACTAAAACTTGAATAGACATTCTTCCATGGAAGACATACAAATGACCAACTGGCACATGGAAGATGCTCAACATCACTCATCGTCAGGGGAAATACAAATCAAAACTACAATGCAATGCGGTATCACCTCACACCTGTCAGAATGGCTAAAATCAACAACATAAATAACAGGTGTTGGTGAGGATGCAGAGAAAGGGGAACTCTCATGCACTGTCGGTGGGAATGCAAACTGGTGCAGCCACTGTGGAAAGCAATACGGAGGTTCTTCAAAAAATTGATCCAGCAATTCCACATCTTGGTATTTATCCAAAGAAAACGAGAACACAAATTCAAAAAGATATATGCACCCCCCTGTTCCCTGCCGCATTATGTAGAAGAGCTAAGATATGGAAGCAACTTAAGTGTCCGTCAACAGATGCGTGGATGAAGAAGCGGGATATACACAATCAAAAATTACTCAGCCATAGAAAAGAATGGAATCTTGCAACAGCATGAGTGGACCCTGAGGATACTGTGCGAAGTGAAGTCAGTCAGACAGACACAGACAAATACTGCATCATTCCACTTACATGTGGAATCTAAAGGACAAAACCAAAGCAAACCCAGACTCAAAAGACAAAACCAAGCCAATCCAGATTGGTGGTTGCCAGAGGGGGAGGGACACGGAGGGATGGGGGCCGGGGATCAAGTACAAACTTCCATTTATAAAGTAAGTGACGGGCATGTCATGTACAGCAAGGGGACTGTAGTCCATGAAATCACAGTAACTTTGTACTGTGAAGAATGGTAACTAGACTTATACCTGAAACTTACTAACATAATATCGCATGTCAATTATACTTCAATTAAATTTAAAACGGAGTAAAACAAAACAAAACTCCAAAGACAGCAAGCAGGGCAGAGCGGGAAGGAGGGGACATCCAGGCAGGGCAGAAGCTGTCAAATGCCAGGGAGTGAGGGAAAATGGCACATGTCAAGTTCATGAGTTCAAAACCAGACGTGACCGGAGGAATCCACAGCACCCAGTGGAAACTGGAAATGAGCTAAAGGTCCCTGAAGGGTGGGCCCCTGAGACCTGGTGCCCAAATCACCTCCTCTCCTCCAAGCCTTCCAGCCTTCCGTGCCACCCCGTCCAGGAAACTTCCCCTATTGGTTTTGGGGCCCGTGGCTTCTCTCTTCTGACACAGATCCTTTTCTCCATGTTCTGGAGTGCTGAGTACCACACTGGGCACCTTTTAACATCCAAAATCTCCTTTTAACGTTGCACCCTCTCTGCCAAACAGGATGACTGTGCCCATTTTGCAGATTCAGAAAGTCAGTCTGCAGCCCAGAGGGTCTGAACCCCTCTGCAGGGCAGGGTAAGTCTCCCAGCCTTCTCCACGTGGGGCCAGGTGCCCAGTGAGTCCTCTTAACAGCAAGGTGGGGGCTGCCAGGGGAAGGGAAGGAAATGGAGCCCTGCCTCAGCCCTGCTGAGGGGAGCAGCCAAGACACCTGCCCTCTAGGGAGAGGCAGGACCAGATGATCACCAAGACCGCTCTGAGCCACCCCAAGAAGTTCACAGGTGTAGGGGAGGATGCTGCCACAGGTCAGACCACAGCAGTGCTCGGTTATTTTTCACCTCACAGCAGAAAGCCACCTTAGACACAAACCCCCCCAGCCTTCTCCAGCCAGGGGGCAGCCACAGCAGAGAACAGCCCTGCATGAACCACACAGTGCATCCAGTGTCTGAAAGCCTTAAAAGTAATAGGATGGATATTTCATAGTCTTGGAGTGGGGCAGGAGGACACCAAAGGGAAAACTCTAAAGAAAAAGCCAATCCATTTGAATGCATGGGGAAAAAAAAAAAAAGCTTCTGTGAGAGCAAAAGACAAGGGTAAAATATTTGCAACACGTAAGACAAATAGTTAAAACCCTACTGTACAAAGAGCTCTAACAACAAGCAAGAGACCAACCCAAGAGAAAAAAAAATTAAAGTGGCCAATTAAACTTTGTAAACAATCATCCCAAAACTGCAAATTAAACACAAGGAAATAACACATGTCACCTAGCCAACCTGATTAAAAGGTTTGCCAACCCCAGGTGTAGGCGAGGGAGTGTGGAAACCACAGCCCGGCCGTTGCTTGGGAGGGAGGGTAGCATGTCCACGCTGCTGGAAGCCGGCCTGGCACTGTGGGGGCGATTTGGTGGCACCCAGTAGAAACTTCTGGAGGTGCGAACCATTTTACCCATAGTCCCCAGGAAAGAGACTGTACATTCCAGGTCTAATAGGAGCCACTGGCTTGACTGACCACAATACGCTGGTAAAAACGACTTCGACTTCGCAGGACACTAAATGAGAGAGGGGCGGCCACCATGCATTAAGCTATAAAATACAGGGCAGAATGGACAAAAGGCATTCTTTGGCGTAATCTTTGTGGGGTTTTTTCTTAAGGTGTATCCCGTACACAGACGGTCCCCTGGGGACGGACCCCGCGCCCCGAGTTCGCGCCCGGTCCCCGCCCCACGACTGGCTGGCGGCCCACCACCAGGATGCTGCAGCTGAGGTGCGCTCCTCAGGTGCGCGGATCCGGGCTCGGGTCCTCGAATCCTGGACCCCAGGACGGAAGCAAAGACGCGAGACGGAGGTTTCAGACCCGGGCAAAAAAGACCCTCGGGCACCCGGGCCGAGGACCCCCGCGGGGGGAGGAGTGGCGCTCCCACCCTCCCTGAAGCAGGGGCCGAGGAGTGCCCGCTGGGCACCGGGGCCGGCGCAAGAACGACCGCTGTCCCCACCCGCGGCAGGGGCCGGGCCGCGCTCACCGAGCATCTCTTTCCGCCGCTGCGTGTGCGGCTGGTCGGTGTAGACCCACTCGAAGTCGGTGCGGCCCGCGCGGTTGCCCATGGTGGGGCCCGGAGCGTAGCACCGAACCCGGTGGACAGCTCAGCTCTCCTCCACCTGTCTGCCCAAGCGTGCGGCACCCCGACCAGTTTGAGGCTCGGGGCGGGGCCGGGGGCGGGGCCTCTCGCGGGGGCGGGGCCAGGTGCGCCCCCCGGAGGCGCGAGGGGGCGGGGCCCCGCGGGGCCGGGGCGCGGCCCAGACCTGAGGCGGGAGGCGGCGGCTCCCCAGCTTGGGTCACGTCGGCGGCACATGGAACTAGTCGCGCGCCACCCGCGGGAGTCCCCGGCCCCCAGGTTGTGCGGGGACGCCCCGGTGCGCTCGCTGCCCCCCCACCCCGCCTGGCTCGCCTGCGGCCGGTCGTCGGGTTTCACGCACGCCCCACCCGCTGAGCGCCAGTTCTCCCCGAGGCCCAGACGCACTGGCGCGCCTGCCGCCCCTGCCTGCGGGGACGAGCCGGGGTTAGCGCCCACTTGGGGTGGGGGTGGAGGTCAGGAGGCTAGACATTAAATGCTTGCGACAGTGCCAGTAAACGGAAGGTGCTCGGAAAGCAATGCTCCCTTCCCCTACCCGGCCCTCTCACGCAACAACAACGCAGTGGGCAGATGATGTGACTGTGGCAACCTCAGGGAGTCAGGCCCACCCTGCCTTCGGGAAAATCGAGGGACACAGGGACACAGACACGGAAGAGGCCCATTATGACTCAGGGTGAGACGTGCCATGACACACGGAGGGGTGGTTAGGGTCCAGCAGGGGCATCTTTTGCATTGGGCCTTAAAGGATGAGTAGGAGTCAACAGCTAGAAAAGGGGAAGGGCACTGGTGGTGGAGCAAACAGCAGATGCAAAGGCTCAGAAGCTTGGAAGAACCCTGACATTTTTTTAAATAACAGAGTCCAGGGTTTGGGGGAGTGGGGGCACGGGGCTCCTTATTTTCACTTTTTCAGGGATTCCGCTCACTCCTTTGGAGCTTTGTAGGGGGTGGCCGAGTCACCTCTGTAGAGCCTGTAGAGCCTGGCCTGTGCTGGGAGCTACCTGGGTGGCAGAATGGCCTGGCAGCCAAAAGTACACAAGGCAGGGAGGCAATAATGGTGAGTTTCCATCCAGGCTCCTGGAAGTCCATGGCCAGGGGTGTGGTACACTTGGCAGGCCTCCCTTAGCCCAGGGCCAAATGCAGTCCTGGCCCAGGCTGGAGAAGAAAGCAACTGTGTGTGGGCATCCCGTGGCAGCCAGCCACCTGCCCAGCTCAGGTGTAGGAAAATGGGTCGGCACAGAGGCTGGATTCCCAATCCAACAGGAAGACCCTCAGAGCCTAGCGTTGCCATCACCCCTTGCAGCACCCGACAGGGTCACCTGGCCCAGCCTGCACAGCCTCAAAAATAGAACTCACTGTTGCCCAGAGCAACCTGTTCTATTCTCAGCCAAAGGGACCCTCCCACCAGCTGGCCCTTTACAGATGAGTAAACCGAGGCTCAGAGCTCAAGAGGGTCTTGCCTAACTACACGAGAATAAGCAGTGAAGCAGGGGCAGACCCCTGATCCTTGACCCGAAAAGCCCAAAGTCCGCGTGTGGGCCCCCATGTTGCGCTCAGTGAGATGTGGGTCCCGGCTGGGCTCTGCCCTCGGATAGCATCACGCCTGCCGGCTCCCTCCACCCCAGGACGGGGTCAGGAAACTTCATTCGCCATCCTACCCCAAGACTCAACCTGTCTAGATGAAACTAGCCCAGTGCCTCCCATTTCACAGATAAGGAAACTAAGGCCAAAGAGGGGACAAGTCAAAAGACATACTAGAGAGACAGGAGGGTGGAATAGGAGTTGAACATACGTGACTCCGCATCCGGCGCCCTGGCCAAGTAATTCCCAAGTCCCCAAGCCAGGCGGAAACAGAAAGACTGACTTCAAGATGGTGAACTTGATCACAGCACACGTGACGGCCTCCCCACTACTCCCCTGGTCCCCGCAATGACAGGGAATACGTATTTGTCTGTAAGGTGGTATCCTGGGTGGGATCCTGGACCAGGAAAAGGGCATGAGGTAAAAACTTAGAGAATCTGACTAAAGTATGAACTTCAGTTAATAATAATGTACCAATAGTGATTCACTAATTATAACAAATGCACCATACTATGATAAGATCTTAAAATAAAGGATGTTGGGTGTGGAAGCTATGTGAACTCTTGATGCTATCTTCCCAATATTTCTATAGATCATAAAGTTTATTTGTAAAGTGAAGTTTTTTCTTCAAAAATCTTTGTTATACATTGTATGTTATAGCCACTCCTCTGTGACTACCCCCCCAAACCTTCCCTGCCCCCATTTCTCCTGGGAGGAGCAATAGCCTGGGTAGGGGGGGTTCACTGACTCTCAGGAGGGATCCCGACTGTAAGCCTGGCTGTCTTCCATTGCCTGGGAGGAGTGGGGGGTACCGACACCCAGAAGTCTTAACTGTAGTATTTGTTGTCCCAGCACGAAGCTCTCTTCTGCCGCACGTCGCACGTTGTTCTGGGGTGGGGGGGCGGGGGGGGGGACAGGCCAAAATGCATCCCGTACAGTCCCTCCCGCCCCTGCCCGAAGCCAGGGGAAGCTAACAGCCCATGACTCACAGTCAGTCCACGCGAGAGAGAGAGTCACTGCGGGAAAGAAGGGCAACCACCCCAAGAAAGAGAACTTCCCACCTGGCAAAACAGAGCTATCGGAAGAGCAGAACCAGGCTGAGAAACGAGAATGACATTTTCATTTCAGGAGACACACAAGGCTGTTGCCATTTCACCAATAAAGTAAATAAATAAATAAACCAGAGATGGACAGGTATAAGTGGCTTGTTTAAAAAAAAAAAAATCTTCTCTTAGAAGAAAACATAAGCAGGAAGCTCTTCCACATCAATCTTAGCAGTATTTTGCGGTGGGGGGTGGGGTGGGGGGGGCAGTCTCCCCAGGCAAGGGCAGCAAAAGCTAAAATAAGCAAATGGGATTGCATCAAACTAAAAAACTTCTGCCCCAGTGAAGAAAATCATCAGCAAAACAAAAAGGCAACCTACTTAGTGGAAGAAGATATTTGCAAGTAATACATCTGATAAGGGGTTAATATACAAAATATATAAAGAACTTACACAACTTAATATTAAAAAAACCACCTGGGGGCACCTGGGTGGCTCAGTTGGTTAAGCAACTGCCTTCGGCTCGGGTCATGATCCTGGAGTCCCGGGATCGAGTCCCGCCTCGGGCTCCCTGCTCAGCGAGGAGCCTGCTTCTCCCTTTAACCCTCCCCCTCTCATGTACTCTTTCTCATTCTCTCAAATAAATCTTTAAAAATAAATAAATAAATAAAATTAAAAAACCACCTGGTTTAAAAATGGGCAGAGGACCTGAATAGACATTTTTCCAAAGAAGACATGCCCACGGCCGACAGGACAGGAAAGATGTGTCATCAGGGAAACGCAAATAAAAACTACAATGAGAGGGACGCCTGGGTGGCTCAGTCGTTAAGCGTCTGCTGTGGGCTCAGGTCATGATCCGGAGTCCTGGGATCGAGTCCCACGTTGGGCTCCCTGCTCAGCAGAGAGCCTGCTTCTCCCTCTCCCTCTGCCGCTCCCCCTCTCGTCTGTCTGTCTCTCAAATAAATAAAATCTCAAATAAATAAATAAAATAAACAAAATCTTCTAAAAATCTTTTAAAAATTAAAAAAATAAGAATATCGAATCACTGGGGCTCCTGGGTGGCTCAGATGGTTATGCGTCTGCCTTCGGCTCAGGTCATGATCCCGGGGTCCTGGGATCGGGCCCCACATCGGGCTCCCTGCTCGGCGGGGAGCATGCTTCTCCCCCTCCTTCTACTGCTCCCCCTGCTTGTGCTCTCTCACTCTCTCTGTCAAATATATAAATAAAATCTTAAAAACAAAATCGAATCACTGCGATGTACACCCGAAACTATAGGATGTTGTGTGTCAGTCATGCTTCAATTAAAACAACAGCAATGCTGTTGTGAAATGGAAGCACATGAAAGAAGAGACATGAGGACAGGAACAGAATCCCCAAGTCTGTCCCAAGAGATTTCTAGAAGGATAGAGAAAATGGAGGAGGGGCAACACTTGTGTGTTTATTTTCGTCACAGAAGTCATCTCTCACTGAAATTATAATTATAATTTAATTATATGGCAGCATGATTATTCCTATCTGAAATAAATCTTTATAGCATGTGCTTACGTGCTTGATTATTGTCTGTTCCCTCCTTTGGAGCGTCGTCTTCTCGTGGGTTGGCCCCTCGTGTCCCTGATGCCCAGAATAAGGATGCCCTCAACAACAATTTACTAAATAAAACATGGATGAATCCCGTCAAACAAGGAATAAATGGGGATTCCCCAGATCAGAAGACCTGAGCCTTCCGCCTGAAAAGGCTTAAGGGTGTCACCAAGATTGGAACTTGGTTCAACCACTTTGGGTAACTTGCAGCGACATCTCCCAAAGCACTCACAATTCCTTGTGAGGCAGGAATTTCACTGCTGGGCACACGGCCCAAAGAAATGAAAATAGATACCTACCAAAGACATGTGTAGGAATATTCATAACAGCTTTACTGGTAAAAAGCCCCATCCTAGAGACAGCCCCAACCTCCCACCACAGCAGAACGGAGGGACAGACATCCCGTGGTCAGTTCACGCGCTGGAATGGTGTGTAACAATGAAACAGAAATGCTCTACGCACACCAAAAACCGTGTACTATTCATGCCTTCTGGATTTTCTCTAGCTCTTTTTTTTTAAAGTAATCTCTACAACCAACATGGGGCTCGAACTCATGACCCCAAGATCAAGAGTCGCACGCTCCACCGACTGAGTCAGCCGAGCACCGATTCTCTGTATTTCAGATGCTCTGACATCCCCTGACCCTGACAGACTGCCCCTCCCAGGGCCAACCAGGTCCTAGCGCTAGTAAATGCCTAGCCTGGGAGCCTTCCCCATGCAAACTCACCCGTGCGGAGCCCATGCACCTCACCACCACCTCCAGTGGCTCACA